TATATATCGCACACAAAAATGAATTCCAATTAGCATGTAGATCTCAATGTAATAAACAAAAATAATGTGATTTCTTTTGGGGAGGGGGCACCAGGGATTGAACTCAGGGACACTTGACCACTGAGCCACATCCCCAACCCTATTTTGTATTTTATTTAGAAACAGGGTCTCACTGAATTGCTTAGTGCCAATTTTGCTGAAGCTGTCTTTGAACTCATAATCCTCTTGCCTCAGCCTCCTGAGCTGCTGAGATTTATAGACCTGTGCCACCGCACACTGAAAATAATGTGATTTCTATAAGATGACATTGAAGTATTTTCATGATCTCAGAGTAGAGAAACAAGTCCTTAAAAAGACATAAAAGTACTAACCTTAAAAATATTATGCATAGGGGCAGGGGATGTAGGATGGTAGAGAATTTGCCTAGCCTGTAAAAGGTTCTGTGTTCCATCCCAAGCACTCCAAAAAAAAAAAAATAGTTCGAATTAAATTAGGTTACTTTTTAAATAAAGTAATTACAGTGTAAATGCAAATTATTCCATAAATGAATATTCATGAATAGCCACAAATGAATGAACAGATTGCCAGGGAGCAAGGGAAGATATTCATGAATCATATAATAAATGAAGGGATTATAGATAGGATGAATTTGTTTGAAAACCACATACAGGATGGGCAAGGTGGTACACTTCTGTAATTCCAGTGACTCAGGAGCCTGAGACAGGAGAAACAGAAATTTGAGGCCAGTCATGGCAACCTAGTGACATCCTGCCTCAAAATTTTACAAAAAGGCTGGAGATGTAGCTCAGTGGTAAAGCACCCTCAGGTTCTATTCCCAGTACAAAATAAAAATAAAAAACACATACAAATCAAAGAGAAAAAGATGAGTAACCCAGTAGAATAGTAAGCAAGGGGCTGGGGTTGTAGCTCAGTGATAGAGTGCCTGCCTCGCACCTGTGAGGCACTGGGGTTGAGCCTCAGCACCATATAAAAATAAAGATTAAACAAAAAGTAAGCAAAAGACTCAAAAGGCACTTTAAAATGTAATCCAAATGATCAGTAATGAATGCTGAAAATTGTCCCTACCGGCAGGACACATCAACAAGGGCAGCGAACCTAGATGGGGAGGAATGAAGGGACAAGAGACACAGAAGGATGACAGCAAGACAGGAGTTCTGATCAAGCTGCAAACTTTTATTGTTCACACAGGGGTATTTATGGGCTGGGAATGGGGGAGCTCTCTTATCAGCAGTTGCTGGATGTCTTCACAAGGTGAGATAACGCAGGATGTCTCAGGGAGATGGATGGCTGCAGGGTGTCTCCCAGGCAAGATGTCTCCCAGGGGGCTGTTTCTTGTCAGGCTATTCTTTGAAGGAGAACTCCCTTCTAGTCCCTGGCAGAAAATTGCATATTATTGTGAAAGATTTTTTTAAAAAAACCCAAATAAATGAAGATATACACCAAAAAAATGGTCAATAAAAGTATATAAAGATTTTTAGTAGCATTAGTCATTAGGCAAATGCTAGTTAAGCCCACAATGAAGTATTATTAAATACTCATCAAGAATGGTTAAGTTGCCTGTAATCCCAGTGGCTCAGGAGGCCCAGACAAGATGATTGTGAGTTCAAAGCCAGCCTCAGCAACTGCGAGGTGCTAAGCAACTCAGTGAGACCCTGTCTCTAAATAAAATACAAAATAGGACTGGGGATGTGGCTCAGTGGTTGAGTACCCCTGAGTTCAATCCCCGGAAACAAAAACAAACAAAAAAGAATGTTTAAGTTATAAATTAGCAATATCAAGTGTAAACAAGTAATATGAGGCAATGGAAATCATGTGTGTACTACTAATAGGAGAGTAACATGGTATAACGATGATATAACTATTTTAAAAATATTTTATTTATTTATGGGCACAATACCTTTATTTTGTTTATTTATTTTTATGTGGTGCTGAGGATTGAACCCAGTGCCTCACATGTGTGAGGCAATTGCTCTGCCACTGAGCCACAACCCCAGCCCTAGAAAACTCTTGTCAGTGTTTCTTATGGTTCAACATATATCCAAACAACTCATATTAAGAGATATGGAAATCTACATCCAGTCACTCAAGTTTATATACAAATGTTCATAACACGTTCATTCACAATATTTCCAAACTATAAACAACTAAAATATCCATCAACAGATGATTGGATAAACGATCCATACAATCAGGTGATGCCTGTTTTGATTCAGGAGCAGATTCATTGAAGTTCACGTTTGAAACAGTGAGAAGGAAAGCAGTAGTTCATTCTACTTCCACTGTTTCTTGGCTCTAGGAACTGGTTGCTGTTTGGACATATCCTTCTTCCTATTTCAATCTTTTTTTTTTTTTTTTTCGGTGTTGGGAATTGAACATAGGGCCTTGTGCATATTAGGCAAATGCTCTCCCACTGAGCCCAAGGGAGATCATTTTGAAAATGAGAAAAAAGTCATATGAGGACTCACAAAGCCACATGAATCACTCTAGTATGCAATTCAAGGATCTATTATATTCATTCATTTTATGGGCTTGTGTAGTACTTCAGATATCCCCCCAAATTAGGAATGGGATGATGGGGTAGCTGATATGGGGATAATAGTTTCTGAGTATATGAAATATATCTGAACTTATAGGAGAAAAAAATTTGCAGATTATTTAGGCTGTGATGGAAGCAACTTTATAGGCAGTATGAAGAAGGGCATGAGAGTTTTGTCCTGCATGTCAGGTTGCTTTATAAAGCCTATGGCAAGCCCCAAGATGAGATTATTTCTGACATATACCAGTCTTCTTGTCTTCTAGAAGAAATTTCTGCTCATTTTGCCTTTTTTTTCCTGATACTGGGGATTGAACCCAGGGGCATTTTAACATTGAGCCACAACCTCAGTCCTTTTTGTTTGTTATTTTGAGACAGGGTCTCACTAAATTGCCAAGGGTCTATGTTGCCTACACTAGCCTCAAACTTTTGATCCTCCTGCCTCAGCCTCCAGACTACCTGGGATTACAAGCAGGAGCCACCGCAGCCCACCTCTCTTTGCCTTTTCATTATCTCCCTCATGTTGATTCTAGGAAAATGACATGCCACCATGAAATATAAGGACCCCAAGCTGTCCTGTAAAATCTGGTGATTCCTGAGGTTTAACCCTTTATTAAGGCAAGAAAGACAGTAGGTTGTTTAAAACCTTCCTAGGAAAAGTGATCTTTTTGGCCACTACATTAAGGCCATAGATAAGTGAGGATTGAAATGGTGTGGACGGACATCTCCCTATCCTGCTAAGGATAAGACAGAACGGAATGGGGTTAGGAGTGTGGTTGAGCTCTTCTCCCTAAGGTTTCTACCAGGAACTTGTGAGGAGAAGGGACCAGCACTGAGGCTCAGTCCAGTGGCTGCAGGAAGCCAAGGTTCAAGCATAGCAGAGCTGGGGACCAGCAGAAGAAGACTGGGAACTTCAGGGAGGGTATCTGTTCACTTAAGCTGCAGTGCCACCATTAAAACTAGGATGGGCCCCCGCACAGTGGCACAGACCTGTAATCACAGTGACTCAGGAGAATGAGGCAGGAGGATCTTAAGTTTGAGCCAGCCTCAGCAATTTAGCAAAGCCCTTTTTCAAAATAAAATTCAAATTCAAAAAGGGCTGCAAATGTAGCTCATGGTAGAGCACCCCTGGTTTCAATTCCTGGTACCACAAAGCAAACAAGCAAACCCTCCTCCTTTTCCAAAACCAGAAAAAAAAAATGTTGGTGGATAGAATTTCCCCTATTTCACGTTTCTTTATGTTTTGGCAACTTCAGGGTCTACATCTTAGTGTAGCAGGTGAAAATGAGAAAATGAGAAATTTGAAATTTGAAATGAGATAGGAGAAGGTACAGACAAGGGGACCCAGTGTTAATTGTTCCCAAGAACAAGAGCACTGAGGTGGCCCTTTTGCTTTGCCTATGACCACAGCAGCTTCCCTTTCTGCAGCCCTTCCCCAAGGGCCAGCGCTTTTACATGCACAGCCTCATTTAATCTCACAGCAGCCTGCAGGAGGCTGGCAGACATTCTGATTGCTTCAGTCATGAGTTCGAGGCTCAGAGAGGTTGGGCGATGCTCCCATGCTCCCTTATTGAGTGGCAGAGCTGCTAAGGCTTGTGCTCTTGAGCACCGCCACAGTGCTGCCCTTTCCACATCCCCCACCCTCTGCGTGAATAGCTGCAAATAAAGCGAGTGACTAGCAAAGACCAGCACTCATTCACTGACTGCCTCCATGTGTCCTGACACATGCACTGCACTGGGCTCAATAATGTCGCCCCCCACACACACACCTGGAACCTGAGGATATCACCTATTGGAAATAAAGTCTTTGTAAACATAAGGAGTTAAGTTAAAATGAGCTCAGGCTGGATCAGGGTGAGCCCTAAATCCAATATGACCGATGACCTTTTAAGAATAGCAGTAACAGACACACAGGGAGAAGTCCTTGTGACAATGGGAGCAGAACTTTGCAGGCCAACACCAGAAACCCCAGTAGGCAAGGCCTCCAGGAGGTGCTCACCTCCTGACACCTCCATTCAGACCTTCGGCTTCCAGTACTCAGTTTCCATTGTTAAGTCACCTGGTTTGCAGTGACTTATTACCACAGCGCGAACAATCTAACCCAGGCACCGAACTAAGCCTTTATTTGTCTGCATAGAACCTGTGAATGGGTAGTCATTTCGGGGATGAAGGAAGTGAAAGCCAGAGAATGTGAGACACCTGACCAAAGGCACCCAGCTCATGCCCTGAAGAGCCAGGATTCAAACCCAGCTGGTTTCCTCCCGCAAAGCCTGCTCGACCTGCGCCGCGCCTGGTTTAACACCTGGGTTGACCTCTCCCCGTATTTACTGGTGCTCTGAAAAGACCCTGGGGGCTGGCCAGGGGTGTTCTGCTCCCCAGCTATATTTCAAAGCACTGTTGGAGCGTGTGGAGAAATCAAAACCAAAAGCACCCAACCACCTCCCAGGGTATTTGCTTAAGGTCTTGCACATCGGGCTCATTTTGAAAACCTCTGTGTCTCACCCTCATGGTTTATTCATTTACAGAAAGATCACTTTGTCTGAGCTGTTGCTCCTTATTCCTGCCCATGTCAGTCCTGCGCCAACGAGAGTACCGCCATCTATTGGTGAGTCCCTTGAACTTCACTTGAAAGCCCTTGGGAGGGTGTGGCTAGGGCTTCAGGGAGACAGCGGGTCACCTGGTCGGTCACTGCTGCACCACAGGATTTGATAGGGCAGGAGAGGAAAGGCCACAAGGCCTTGGGGCACAGGAAAGGAGAGCCTCAGCTTTGACCATTTTGCTGCAATTCCCAGGGTGGTCTGCAAGTTTATTAAATTGGACATCAGGGAAAATCGAACCCAGGGAGAAACTGCGATCTGCTGTCACTTTGAACCGCCACAGAAAGGGAGGACGCAGGAAAGGGAAGAGGGATGAGTCTGAGGCTTGAAGCATGGTCAGGAGCTGTGCTCGGGGCTCCCGCCGCTGCACCGCTGCACCGCTGCACCCGGATGCCACACAGGGAGCCAGGCACAGAAGGAGCAGAGACAAACCCGGTCCTGCGGAGCAGGAGCTGCACCCCCAGCCAGCCTTTGAGCTCCTGGGCCGCTCTCTGCCCTTTGCTCTCGCAAGAGCAAAAGCCTGGCGTGGAGGGAAGTAGGAAAAGTAGCGCGGGAGTCGCCACACAGCGCTGGGGTCACATCTGCAGAGAGATTGGTTTCACAAGTGCTCAGATCTGCTGGGGTCACCTGGAAAGGCCTTTGGGAAATCCCCTGGGCACACTTTTGGAATCCCAAAGGAATGACCTTCCAGAGTGCCGGTGAACCCACTGGGGTCCTTATTGCATGCACCCTGATGTTTCTTTTTGATACCATGATTTGGAAAAAAAAAAAAGAAAAGAAAAGAAACCTTTGGGCACTGGTCTCTGGAACTGGGAGGCCATGTTGCAGCTCCCCTGGTCTGGCGGTAAGGTCCTTCTGATTCACCTTGCCCCCGTAATAGCCACACAACCCTTACCACAGACTACTGTTACTGCCGTTTACCGGTAATGCGTCCTTGCTTCCCCGAATGCTGAAGTATAACACAAGAGAAGCAAGCGGAGGCAAGTGTAGAGTGGAAAGTGGAAGGCTTTATTAAAGGACAGCAGAAAAGGCTTCTCCCAGGACGAAGAAGGGGACCCGAAAGGGAGAATTCGTGGAAGGGGGAAGTCTTCCCTTTTGTATAGCTAAGGTCTTCTTTTAGTCCTCCCACATTCCTATCCTTTGTTTCCCTCTGTCCTGCAGCTATAGAATGCAGGTGGGAAGGACAAAAGGTGGGAGATGATGGACTGGAGGAGTAATCTGGACAGGAAAAGCCTGGGGTGGTTTGATTAACATTTCCCTGTTTGCTAGGAGCTGATTCATTAACATTTCCTTAGGATGGGTTCCGAGTTTTGGGGTCATTAACATTTCAATTTCCCCAAGTGCTGCTCTGCTTTCCTGGTCTCCATTTTCTTTATCTTTTTCTATATTAGACCCGATTTACCTAACTACACTAACTACCTATCTGTAAATCTGGCTTCACTACTTCCTTGGGGGCATCCAAGGCATTCCTGCTCCCTGAACCCTCTCAAACCCCTGGCACCTGCTCCACACAAACACCCCCCCCCCCGTGTGCCCAGTGATCTCCTCTTCTAAGTGGCTCACTGGGCAATCTGTGCTCAAGGCCTACCATAGGGTCACTTGTGGAAAGGGACCAGGAGGTAGGTCATGAACCCACTTTCAGAGTGTACTGAGGCAGTCCTGGGTCACGAAGCCCTCCTGGTTTTTAGGAACACTGGGTGCTTGTGACATGAATTGAAGCATGTGTGTTTGTGTGTATCCCACTAATGGAGGAGAGGACTCCTGGTTTCTCTGGAAAACGATGTCCCACTAATGGGAGGGGGGAAGTCCCTGATTCCTCTGGTTGTTATAGATAGACTTTGGTGCCAGGGAGAGGAGTATTGTAATAGTAGCCACAGAGGGAACCTTCTGAAAAAGGGTTGGTGGCAGGGCATGGGTCAATCTGGTCTAGGGTCCTTGGAGACAGTTCTGTAGAAATGAGACAGTGCTTGAAGTCCGGCCTGGTTCCAGGTGGCTGAGTGGGAACCAAAGGCAACTGATAGTGTCAGGGTGAGGGCAAGGCTCAGGCCTGGGAACTAAGTTTCGAAGATCCAGCAATTGAAAGAAGATGCAAGGCACAGTGGGAATATTGGTCATCCTTTACTCAGAGATGGCCATAGCCATTAGCCAGCCCCCTGAGTCATTTGTACAGGCCCTTTTTCTGTACAGTTCAAACAAAGAAGGCACACTGCCAACAGGTTACATCAGTGGGTGCATGATCACAAGCAAATGTTTATGACCTCGAGTATGTGCAGTAAATCAAAGTGTTTCTGACCTTGACTACACACTGACCATAATATAGCAGATTCATGGCCTTGGCTACATACTAAAAACATAACATAAAATATAACATAACGCTCTGCCCTCTTCCTCTTCTTTCTCTCCTCTCTCTGTTCTCTTCCTCTCTTCTCTCTCCTCTCTCTCTCCTCTCTTTCTCTCCTCTCTCTGCTCTCTGCCTCTCCTTTTCTTCCCCTTTGGCAGCCCCCAATAAAATCTCTTTGATTGAAAAAAAAAATAACAGCTATCTGGAAGTCTTGGTGAGGGAGCCATTTTGGGCCTGCTCCAATAGTTAGCATGCCACAGTCAGTGTGGCAGTAGGAGAGCTGGTCTGGTGCAGGTTATAGCAAGACTGTTCCCAGGACAGCCTGCAGTGTGACTGTTGCCAGTCTCAGGCTCCATGAGCAAGTTGTAGCCCTGGTTGATCCTATGGAGTCTCTGAGGGTGTGGTCACTCACTTGAGGGACTCAGTGTCTGCTCTCCATCAGAGTGGTATTTGGAGCACTGCTGCGAGTGACCCTGCTTTCCTTGGATGCTTTCCACTGCTTGGTGTCATGCTTGCCCCTCTGTTCCTCTGTTTAATTGGCATGAGGTGGGACCTTGGCACTGGTGTGTTTTAAAAGCACCCCTGGCATTGCCAGTGTGCCAGGCAGGTTGGGAAATCAGTGCCAGGGTTGGAGTTGACCCACAGGTTAGAGGCAGAGTGAGGAGGTGCAGAGCTGGTGAGGATGGACTGTGCTTTTACACAACCATTCCCATCATTTCTCATCACAGGTCTGCATTAGCAGTGTACATGGGCGACATGGTGTGGTGGACGACACCATCTTTTTCACTTTGGATTCTCTGAAGCTTCCTGCCGGTTACGTACCTCAACCAAATGACATCGTTGACGTGGTCATAGTAGAGAGCGTTCAGTCCTGCTATATTTGGAGAGCAGTTTCTATGACCCCAGTGCACATATTGTAAAAGCAAAACCCTTTGTTTCCTGTTGGTCTTCATTTCTATGGGCAGTAAAGGGCCTGGTTTAATGGAAAAGCTGAGCTTAGTAAGCCCAAACAAAATATTAATGCTTTAATTAATCATTTAAGACAGTGGGTAGTTCATTTGGGACCAGGAACCTACTTTAGGGAACTGCCTTATCCATTCTGAAACATGCTAAAGCTGGATGTTTATTGTAGGAAAGAAATAGCACTGCAGTCAGGCACAGTAGCCCATGCCTTTAATTCCAGAGACTCAGAGACTGAGGCAGGAGGATCACAGGTTTGAGGAGAGCTTGACAACTTAGTGAATCCAGTTTCAAAATACAAAAAATAAAAATGGGGGTGTAACTCAGTGGTAAAGTACCCCGGGCTCAATCCCCTGGCAACAAGTGTTAGAGTCTGTAAACAAGTCAGGATGGCGCCTGCTATTTTGCCAGGGGGAGTGGTTTGTGAGGTGGCACCAGCGAGCCATTAAGTGTGGAGATTCCTTATTGGTTGACTGCTGTATCTAGTTTATGTTAATTAAGATAAGCTGTGTGTAATGTATATATACCCCTCCTGTCCTACAATAAATGGCTCCCACTCCTACTGTATCAATCTACACAAGTTCTTCGTCACCCCCCGGTTATTTTGCTGCAGCCGGACTGCGGCAGATGGTGGCCTTTTACGGGGAGCCCCGGGACACTCAGGGGTAAGTGACGAAAAAAAAAAAAAAGCTGCCCGTCCATAGACAGAACAGGAGCAAATCTGTTCGTCCCTAGGCAGATAGGGCGAGAGGAAAAATGGCCATTTTGAGAAAATGGAGAAGATTGATGCAGTATGTTTGTGTCTTGTTTTGTCTCAGTGTATTGTATTGTCTTTGTGATGAAAATATGGAAGGGGTGAGAAGTAAATTACTAAGGTGCCGCAGTCTGGCTGGGCACACAATCACGAGCCACCACACAGCTTGTAGATTCAAACAGCAACTCTTTATTCCCGAACTCACACCAGCCGTCTACAATCACGTTCTGGGGAAATCCACGTTCTCTGCCCAAATCCCCTCCCACTGGGCTTCTGTCTCCCAAAACATACTGTCTGAATCCCGTGAGAACTCAAGGGGAACTCAGGCAGCAGGATACGCCCTATTCCCAGCAGGAATAATCTTAAACCTTAAACCTGGAACCTAAACCGGGAACGCCCTAATCCGCCTTGGTCCTTGAACAAGGTCACCTACATTCAATGTCACTGCAACATGGGGTACGCTGGCAAGGAAATTGTCATACCTACTTGGCTAATGGCTCCCAGCACTAAGGGAAGAAGGCACCCCAGTGGAACCAAGAATAGTTAGGGCATGTGTTGATGGAAGCCCAGGAACTCTAGTCAGAAAGAAAAAGAAAGTTCAGAGGAAGGATTATCAGGAAAAAAGTTGCAGCAAAAGGCTATTACTGAATACTTTTCGTTACCGGAGGGTGCGTGAATCGGCGCTGTGGTTGCCACGTGTGCGAGCCGGTCATGGTGCAGCAAGGACTTTCCAAGCGGCGGCAGCCGGCTCTTCCACTGCCAGGAGCCCAAATCTAGACCTGACCTGGAGGCACAGTCTCGCAGGCTCTTGCTCCCTGTGCCCGGAAGCAGTTTGTGTCCAGGACTCTCCCCAGGGCCATCTGGGGCTGCCCGGATGCTATAGCCGATGCTACCGGATGCTACCGGTGTCCCTGATGTTTGGTTATTTTCAATGCCAATAACTAAGCTACAATGGTTCTCCCACACCTGGAGGCTGATGAATAATGAGCACCATTAAGGCTTATTTCAAATGTAAGAAACCTTGAGATAATGTACTAAATTGTTCAGAAGGTTGTTTTCTTAGCGCCTGCTGGAATACTACAGGATTTTCTTTACCACCCGGAGTTCCTGCCTTCATCCCAGTGCCAGTGAAGATGAAGGTGGAAGAATTTCCAGTGTTGCTGAAAACCGGACGAAACTTCGTCTGAGAACCGGACGAGACTTTGGATCAAGCTAGCTGCCTGCAGAACTTACCTGGACTGTGATTTAAGCTAGCTGCCTGCAGAATTTACCTGGACTGTGATTTACCTGGACTGTGAGGACACTGCTTTAACTGGACTGAGACAACAAACTGTAATCTACAACAAATTGTAACTCGGTATCTTTGCAAATGGTGTCATTGCTGGTATAATTTTTCTAAGGGCTTCTTGCATGGAGCCATCAATTGGCTTGGTATTGTGGCATTTTGTATCCTCCCCTTCTGCTTGTAGCAGATTATTTATGGTGTTTATGTAAAAACCACTATGGTCATTATTTAAATTAAACAAAAGGGGGAAATGTTAGAGTCTGTAAACAAGTCAGGATGGTGCCTGGTATTTTGCCAGGGGGAGTGGTTTGTGAGGTTGCTCCAGCGAGCGCCAGTGTGGAGATTCCTTATTGGTTGACTGCTGTATCTAGTTTATGTTAATTAAGATAAGCTGTGTGTAATGTATATATACCCCTCCTGTCCTACAATGAACGGCTCCCACTCCTGCTGTATCAATCTACACAAGTTCTTCGTCACCCCTCGGTTATTTTGCTGCAGCCGGACTGCGGCAAGCAAGCTTCTTGATTTCCTAGCACCCTGACTGGGGACTGGTATTTTTGTCCTTGGGGGACCAGTTCTGTTGTGGTGTCCAGGACTGTTTTGGACTCTTTCAGCCCTTGAAATAAGTTTGCAAGCACCTGGTCCCTGGTTGAATTGAAGTTTGGTTTAGGATGGCTACTGACTCCGGCTTCTGTGTTGCTTCTGACTCCTCACTGATACATTGTCTTCTGGCACTGGGGGTTGGGGATGATATTTGGTGTCAATATGGATGTTATGCTTTTTTTTTTGGTTTATAATAATAATAATAATAATAATAATAATAATAATAATAATAATAATGTGCTTCTCCTCTCTAGTAGCTTTTAGGCTCTTCCCTTTGCCTTAAATATGCTTCAGCTTCACAGAAATGGGCCTAGAAGAATATTTTGAGTGCATCTGTATTTTATTCAACTCTCAGCATGGGTATTTTCTCATGGAAAATCCAGACCCTGCACCAAGCACAGGGCAGACCTGAGGATTAAGAGTCTTAATGGTGGCTGTTTCAACCCATTGTTTGGGCAGGGGATTTACTTTCAAGAGACCCCAGGTGGGCAGGTCAAGAAATCCTGGTTCCCATTCAAGGCAGACAGCACTTTTCACCTGGCAGGGCCACACCAAGCACCTAGTTCTGGCTCCTACCTACAGAGTGAGCTTTCCTAGCTTCTCAGACCTGTTCTGCCTCCAAGGGCTGTGCAGCTCCAGGCCCCACCTGCTGCCTACATTCCTGCCACTTCTGATCCTTAAGATTTCTGCTTTCACTTTTGAGATTGGCCATATTTTTTAAATACTAGCAAAAGAGGGAGGGGAGGAATGGGTGAGGGTTTTATACAGACTGAGTTCAAGCTCAGTCCTGATGCAAAGTCATTTCCCATCACACAATGATGAAAGGCAAATCTCATTTCCTTTAAAAAACAAGTGAAGCCCCAGAGCTGCAAAGAGAAGCACAGATGGCCAAAGGCTTATGGAAGTATCTCATCCTGATCAGGTATTCCAAGGAATGCATGGCAAAATGTCCAAATAAACTATTTTAACATATGAAATTGAGAGATTTACAAATCTGATGTGAATCCTAGGAACAGGTAATCCTAGGCATAAATTGGAGATGATAGGAAAGGACTAGTTTCAGGAAAGTGATGGGTCCAATTCCACATTATATTGGTCTTAGAGAGAAATGAACCCAACTTGAAGCAAAGAAAGACAGTAACAAATGAATAAAAAAATCTGTTGTGATGCAGAATTGTCACCCTTCTCTCAAATAACTCATTCCTGACTAAAGTGAGTAACTTGGAACCCCGATGCTGGAGGTATCAAAATCCCCAAACTGCTGCGTACATTGCCACATTGCCTATAATTCCAGCAGCTCAGGAGGCTGAGGCAGAAGGATCACAAGTTCAAAGTCGGCCTCAGCAAAAGTGAGGTGCTAAGCAACTCAGTGAGACCCTGTCTCTAAATAAAATACAAAGTAGGGCTGGAGATGTGACTCAGTGGTCAAGTGCCCCTGAGTTCAATCCCTGTTACCCAAACTAAGAAAGAAAAAAGCCCCAAACAGTGCATGTCTTTTGGCCCACTTCCAGGAATCTATATAAAGGAATTAATTGATCATGACTATCCATAATAACATCTGTCAATGCATGAACCACAACTACACACACACACACTCCCCATACAATAATAAATAAATAATCAAGAAATTTTGGCAAGGTGCTGGGGATGTGGCTCAAGCGGTAGTGTGCTCTCCTGCCATGCATGGGGCCAAGGTTTGATCCTCAGCACCACATACAAACAAAGATGTTCTGTCCACTGAAAACTAAAGAATAAATTAAAAATTAAAAAAAAAAAGAAATTTTGGCAAATACATGATGATATCTTTGTACTAGGCAGGGACTACCAGGCAGCCTTGGATGTAGAATCTTAATAACATGGAAAGATAAGCAGAGAGTGAGAGGAGCAGGATCCAAAGCAGGATGTCCTCCCAGCACACCTGTGCTCAGGCAGCACAGTTCATCCCAAACCCAGCAGCTTCCCTTGGGTGGGAGGGAGTGGAATGGGCCCTGCACATTTTTCTTCAGGCCCTTGCTCTCTCTGCCTCTGGAACTGTCTGCTTCCTGCTCTCTTCCTCTCTCCTGCCTCAGTTGCTTAAATTTCAACAAGTCTCTGGAAATGGGAAAAGGGGAGAAGGCAGGTGGTCTACATGGGCAGTGGCCCCAGCTGCTCCCAGTAGGCAGCTCCGTTTTGAGATGACCCCCAGGCCTGCTCCCCCAAAGCCCAGGTTCTCTTCTCTGTGTCCTGAAACCCACTCCAAAAAGGCAGGATCACCTTCCCCTTTGCTATCCCACCACCCTTTCTGCCTGATTCCCTGTCCCTCTGTAGGGAAAGGGAGGTCAGGAAAAAAGCCTCTGCTGAGGGATCTATTCAGAACAGGCTCCCACCCTGGATTTCTCTCAGGTGGGAGGAGGGTTGGGTGGGTATGGGATACACTGAGGCTAGGAACGCAGAGTACCTAGCAGAGTGCATGGCACACAGCACTCTCCCCTGACATCAGTTCCTGTCTCTTGCCCCGTCCTCACAGCAACAAGGCTGCTCCAGGCTAGACTCTATCAGGCTTTTGCTGAGGCTGGCTTTGAACTCACAATCCTCCTGCCTCCGCCACACAAGTTGCTGGGATTACAGGCATGTGCCACTGCACCCAGCCATGAGGAGCTCCTGATGATGGGCAGAGTGCAAACAGGGTCCCAAAGCCCACAGTGTGCTCTCCTGAGCAAAACCTTCTGACCCAGGATGCCTCCCTCCTGGGGCCCTGTGGGCACTGCCTCCAGCCTCCTGCACTCCCCACAGCCTTCTCCTGCCTTGCCCACCCCCACCCCAATTCCTAGCTTCTCTGGGGGAGCTTCTGGGAATGGGGCTCTCCGGACAGAGATTAGGTCTATGGTGGGGGCAGGGAAGCAGGCATCCAGGTGCAGGCTTCCTGGGTGGTTGATCTTCTCTAAGTGTCCCCAGCAAGCTGCTTGCAGAAATGCAGTGAGGTCCTTCCCCTGCTGCTGAGGGGGTCTCTGGGCCACACAATGCAACCTACAGATGGTCTGCCTGCTTCTCTTTACCCTAGTGGTTCAGCTGCATTAAGCACTTTCAACCCCCAGCTCTATAATGGAAGACTCATTTCTGGTCCTTTGAACAAAGGTTGTGAATGGGACCAGCCACCCTCTCCTGGGCCAGGCTCTGCTGCCACTCGCTCCTCGGGGAGGAGGGCGGTGGTCCTGCCAAGTCTGGTCCTGGAGCAGCTTCTGATGAAGCAGCAGGTCCTGACACAGCCTGGACCTGGCCCTCTGAGGCTTCCCCAGCCCCTGACCCTAGGAACTTCCTCCCCACCTGCCCTTGGCAAATGCACCAAACCCAGCAAAAAGAGGACTCCAGTCAGTATTGTAGTGTTCTGAACTCAAGGACTTTCTTTTTAACATAGGGGGACAACAACATGTGACAATATCAGAAACAAGAACATATCCCTGACCAGACTGTGCTGGCCAGCGCAGAGATCATCACACAGAAATGTAAGGTCATCCAGGCTGGGTCTCTGAATATGTAGAAGCCACCTGGAACACAGACTGCAAATAAATAAAGTGCATGGAGACCCCATCACGCAGCAAGGGCCCTTGAGGGAGAGAAAGCGGGCAAGAGGGGAGGCAGGAAAGCAGAAGCTCACTCATGGGTCAAGGCCCCAACAGTGGAGGAACACAAGGCTGGGTGGGGCCTGGGGCCAATCCCTTTTGGCAGAGGCGGCAAAAGACCAAGCCAGGGTGCTGGGCAGGGTTGGGTTTCCCTGGAGTGGAGGTCTGAGGGTGGCCCTGAGGCTCCACTTACTTTTCTCCCTATAGAAAAGGGCTCCTAGGCCCCAAGTGGAGCCCTTTGCAGAGAGGGCTGGGCAGCCAGAGCAGCTCCTCATACTCAACAGCTCCATCCCCTCCATCACACCCCCACAAGCTTGCTGGCAAACTCACACACACATGCGTACTCAAACATGCACACACACTCAGTGAGGAGTGAGGGGCCATCCTCCTTCCTTCCTGGCTGACTGCGGAAGAGGCTGGAGCTGGAGATCCTATCACCCAGAGGGTGGGACCAGGATTTGAAAGGGCCAAAACTGGGTAGCTGACCCAAGGAGGCCCCTTGGCTCCTGCTTTCTTCTTCTACCCTGTGTCTCTTGTCCCATAGAGGTGGCCCAGAGACCTGTGGATGAGGTCAGAGGCTGACAGGTCTCCAGAAGTGGTCCTGAGTGGACAAGATGAGAAGGGTCAGCAGGATGAAGGGCTCCAGAGGGACTTGGCACAAGGAAGGAAGCTACCAGGCCTAGACTTTGGGAAACCACAGGGACACATGGCAGCCATGTTAAAGCCTCCATCCTTGGGGTGGAGCGAACTGAGATCTTCATTGGAGACCCCAGATCCAGTGAGCAGCTGAGAAGGGCAGCAGTAGGAGGCTGGGCCACTCTGTCCCTGGGACTGGCCAGGCTTCTGTAGGTTTTGGTCCCAGGAACTCAGTACATGGGACTTGAGCTACCAGTGCCAGAGGAGCTGAGGGAATAGGCATGGGTGGTGAGGACTCCCCTTGGGCAGCTTCTGGCTATTTTGGGATCCCAAATAGCAGCATGCCTGGGGCCTTCAGAGTCAATCCCAGGTCATCTGGATGAGATTCTCCTGTGTGATCCTGGGGATGGAGCCTGAGTCCAGGGACAGAGAGAGGGTTCAGAGACCCATCTCTCTTGTGCCCCATCTTAGCTCACTGTTTTGTCTTCCCTGGGACCTTCCATACCACTCCAAGGAAAGCCATATCCCAGATTTCCTACCCCTGGATCCCTCTCCTCCTAGGTACCTGGGAGCTCTGTACTCCTTCCCTGTTCCACAGACTGCCAGATCTTAAGGAAGTCTGTGGAGGGAGTGGGAGATTGCAGGTCCAACAGCAGACTCAGCTCCACCCTCCCACCTGTGTGACAAGGGCAAATCCCAGCCCCTTCCCTGGAGCCCCATGAGTGGGGAGAATATATCTTCCTCACAGTGTTGCTAGGAGATCTCTGTTCCCAAGGAAACATGACCCTCCTTCCCATGCCAGGGCCCAATCCCTGGGCCACCCACCCTTCAAGCTTCAAGGCCTCTGTCCATGCTGGGCCTCTACCAAGAAGGCCCTTCCCCTCCTCCTGGGCATTTCACTCAGTTGCTCCCCAGGTGGCTGCAGGAATAGAGGCACTTCCAGGCAGGGATCAGATTCTTGACAAGCCAGATAGTGGCTGGACACCACCTATAAAGACCAATGCCTGAAAAAAAAAAAAAAGATGGAGACCTCAGATTTGCCTGGCCACAGACAGAGGGCCTTGTTTCCTGTGTAGCCTTCTCTGCAACCTCCTTTCTCCTTCTGCCCTCCCCACCTACCCAGACTGAGAGCTGCTGCCTGCTCAGGGAGATCCTTCCATTTTCCCAAATTCCCTGAGCACCTAGTGGGCTTCCTGGGTTATCCTGGGCTGGAGGATGGGCTTCTGTGGCTCTGATAGGGCAATGGCTGGCCCTGCAGGGAGCCTGAGCAAGCCTGTGGGGGAAGGGGAGAGGCAGGATCATCTCTTCCCTACTCCTCCAGGTCTGCAAATGAGAATGACCCCAGATGGGATTAGGGGAGCAAGAGGGATTTCAGCAGAGGGTACAGACCAGTCCTTTGGCCCCAAATATAGGGAAAGAGGCAGATTTGCAAATGGCTGTGTGGAGATGAAGAGAGGCCCAGCATCCTGAGATCTGAAAAGGGGACAGACCTGGGGCTTGGCTATAAGGCAACCATCCTTGCCATGAATCCCCCAAGGTGGGTGGAGAAGGGTGGGCACATCTTTTGTGCTCCAGGGACTTCCAGGGACCTTACTGACCCATTCCCCAGCGTTCACGTGACACCACCCCAGTCTCTGTAAAGGGGGAGGGGATCCACGCTGTGTATGGGAGGGGGCTTCTTATCTGTCCTGTGGTGATATCCTGACTCTCCAAGAAGCTCAGGCCACTGCTGCCCCTAACCCCCTTGAGGAATCACAACAGGGGAGCAGAGGAGAGTCTGAGTCTGCCTTGCCTTTCCCCAGCTTGCCTTGGCATCTTTTCGGGCTGTTTTGTCTGGGTGTCCTCTCTACTGCCCCAAACCTCTCGGGGTCCTCGATATCTACGTGGCTTAGCAGCTTAACCCCCACCCCCATCCCACCCTTTCTCCTACCTTTTTGCTCAGACTTGGCAAATGAATTCCCTGCAGTAAAATTCCTTCTTTCCGATTTCCCAGTTTTGGCCAGTGTGAGGCAACAGGTCAGCTGGACTCGTAATTTTCTTGAGCCCAGTGCAAAGGACCCGTTGCGTGAGTTTTCTTGCAGGTGTTGACGGGGTCCAGGGTCGGGTAGCGGTCCCCCAGACGCGGGTGTCTACAGTTGCAGGGACCCAGGCCACTCTGCACCCCAAAGCGTCCGGCGGCCCCGCTGTCCTTCACAAGGTGTCCAGGCTCGGCGCTGGTGGGCAGGCGACTCTGACCCGGCCACCACCGCTGCTGGCGCTCACTCAATCCGCACCTGCAGGCGGACGTTGAGTATCACCGAGGCCACCACGTAGCAGTAGGGGAAGTTCGTGCGCAGCCGCCAGGCCAGGTCGAAGAAGGTGATCAGAGTGCGGGTGAGCCCCTTGCAGAAGGCGCCGTAGGAGCCGCGCACCGAGGCGAAGCGCGACAGCCACACCGTCTGGCCCGACAGAGGCGCCGCGGGCGCCGCAGACCCTGCCATGGGCCAGGGCCGCCGCAGGCCCCGCTGACCCGCTGACCTACAGGAGCGCGGACCCACGGCGAGGCCGATAAGAGGTGTGGAGCGCCCCTAACCTGTCCGAGCCCTGCCCTCCAGATCTCCCCGCCCACACCCGGCTCAGGCCATCCTGCAGCCTCCGCCTCCGGCCCCCCTCCCGCCCGAGGGACCCGCTGGTCGCACAGTCCCGCCCCTTCCCGCGGCAGCCTCCACGTAGCTCCGCCCACACAGTGGTCCCGCCCACATGCACGAACTACAGAGGGGCCCCTACTCACGAGGCCCCGCCCACAAGGTCGCACCTCACCGGCACAGCCCCGCCCATGGGACCCGCCCCACCTCTACCGCGTAGCCTCCTCAAGTCCCTAAGAGCCAAGGCCCAGGCCTGAAAGGACCGGAAGGCCCTGCTGCCAGGATTTGCTCTTGCAGAATCCTCTAGAGTGTAGTGGGAGTGCAGGAATGGCGGGAGTCCATACAGAAGCTCATCCAGAAGGCCCTGTGCATTCACAGCACCAGCCTTCTCCCACAGTGTCCCCAGAAAACCTGGCCAGACAACCCACTGTACCTTTCTTTCTTTTGCATTTCTCTTTCTTTAATACACATTGTGCAGAACTGTACCAGCAAGTGCCACCAAACAGACGAGAGCGTTTTTCTGATTTGTGTCTATTCACTGGTCCTGTATACTTCGTTATTGGGGAATCTTTTTCTTGTCCCTTTCTCAGCACTCATCTAAGCACCCTGCCATGGGCCAGGGCCTCCGCAGGCCCCGCTGACCTGCTGACCTACAGGAGCGCGGACCCATGGGGTGGCCCACTGTTGGCCCTGGTTCCTGCACAAGGTTGGTTTTCATCTGTCCTGGGTTGTGGCATTTTCTTGCTGGTGTGCTTAAAAGCCCTTTCCTGGTTTCATCTAATCTTTACATAAGCTAAAGCAAACCCATTGCAAATTCGAGGATGTTTTTACAGAGTAGTTAGTGAAATGAGGAAATGCTTATGTTTCCTTAGGTTTAAGACTTTAAAAGCACTCACTATGACCCCATTCCAATTTTACAAAACTGCCCTGAGTATCTATACTCTCTCAAAATGCCTGTTCCCTGACACAGTTGAACATTTCTATTGCATCCTATACAACTGTTTAGGGAACCCAAAAGATTCACATACACTTGGGCAATTGCCTACCTACATGTTCAAATGGGGCGGGGGGAGAGAAAGGCAGCTCCAGGGCCACCATGTTTTTGTGTAACATGTTTTTTTTGTGTGAAAATTGTTCAACACATTGTTTATCTCTGGGTAAGGGCGGTAGGAGGGAAGACTAGACTTTTTAGTCTCTCTCTCTCTCTCCATATATATGTGTGTGTGTGTATATATATATATATATATATATATATATATATATATATATATATATATACATGCCGCAGCCAGGCTGGCTGGGCAAAATAAGGGGGGGGGACGAACTGTGTAGATTGATACAGCAGGAGTGGAAGCCCTTTATTGTAGGACAGGAGCGGTATTTATACATTCCACACAGCTTATCTTAATTAGCATAAACTAGATACATCAGTCAACCAATAAGGAATCTCCACACTTAATGGCTCGCTGGCCTTACTTCACAAACCACTCCCTCTGGCAAAATGCCAGGCGCCATCCAGACTTGTTTACAGACTCTAACATTGACTGCGGCATATACACACACACACATACACACAATGTGTCTATACATATTATTTAATACAATGAAACATGTTATGAAAGAAAACAATCACATAAATACAGACTTAAGCCACATAGAAACCTTTTTATTCCAGCCTGGATTGAACACCATTCATTTGCAAAGCCTGTTTCCTCCAATCATTTCTGAAACTCACCTTGACCTTTTCTTGTTTATTTTTAATATTTAATTTTAAAATAATTATAAACTCACAGGAAATTTCCCAAGTAGTATAATAAACATGTTGTGCCTTTCATCCAAAGGTGACAATTTCTGTAGATGTTGCAGTATATCAAATCTAGGAACTTGACATTGGTTTATTCCTACTAACTAGAACACAGGTATAATTCTACTTTTGCCATTTTTTAACCTGCATTGATGTCATGTATGTGTGTGTACATATTAGCTCTAGCAATGTTATATCATTTGAAAATTTGTGGAACTATCACTACAATGAAATTACACAAATGTTTCATCACCCAATTTGGGCTACCTGTTGGCCCTCACACTCAGCCACCCTGTACATATTTTGTTATATATATGCCTATTTCGTTCTCTTTGCAGTGACTATGCATGGTATTGTGTTTTTAATATATGTTACACATTTGGTTTCCACAAGTTCTTGCTTGAATGTGTGTTTCTTACTCTACCCCCCCCCCCAAATGTCTCTTAACTGAGATAGCCCACATTCTCCCTTGAATATGCATCTGCTTTCCTAAATAAATGTCTGTGTCTCTGATGGGTGCTGAAATTCTTATTCATTACATACCACAAGGACTCCACTTGTCTTGAGTAGAGTTCCTCCTCTCTGGGAATTCCTCCCATGACAGTACTATAAGAAATGGACTTATACCTGATGTCAATAGTCTAGTTTGGTTCACCCCCACTTCTGTTTTTTTTTTTTTTTTTTTTTTAATTTTTTATTGTGGGTTGTTCAAAACATTACAAATTTCTTGACATATCATATTCCACACTTTGATTCAAGTGGGTTATGAACTCCCACCTTCACCCCATACACAGATTGCAGAATCACATCAGTTACACATCCATTGATTTACATATTGCCATACTAGTGTCTGTTGTGCTCCGCCGCCTTTCCCATCCTCCACCCTCCCCCCTCCCCACCTCTCCCCTCCCCTCCCCTCCTCTCTCTCTACCCCCTCCACTGTATAACCCTGAGGGTCTCCTTCCATTTCCATGCAATTTCCCTTCTCTCTCCCTTTCCCTCCCACCTCTCATCCCTGTTTAATGTTAATCTTCTTCTCCCGCTTTTCGTCCCTACTCTGATCTTAGTTACTCTCCTTATATCAAAGAAGACATTTGGCATTTGTTTTTTAGGGATTGGCTAGCTTCACTTAGCATAATCTGCTCTAATGCCATCCATTTCCCTGTAAATTCTATGATTTTGTCATTTTTTAATGCAGAGTAATACTCCATTGTGTATAACTGCCACATTTTTTTTATCCATTCGTCTATTGAAGGGCATCTAGGTTGGTTCCACAGTCTTGCTATTGTGAACTGTGCTGCTATGAACATCGATGTAGCAGTGTCCCTGTAGCATGCTCCTTTTAGGTCTTTAGGGAATAGACCAAGAAGGGGAATAGCTGGGTCAAATGGTGGCTCCATTCCCAGCTTTCCAAGAAATCTCCATACTGCTTTCCAAATTGGCTGCACCAATCTGCAGTCCCACCAGCAATGTACAAGTGTACCCTTTTCCCCACATCCTCGCCAGCACTTGTTGTTGTTTGACTTCCTAATGGCTGCCAATCTTACTGGAGTGAGATGGTATCTTAGGGTGGTTTTGATTTGCATTTCTCTGACAGCTAGAGATGTTGAGCATTTTTTCATGTACTTGTTGATTGACTGTATGTCCTCCTCTGAGAAGTGTCTGTTCAAGTCCTTGGCCCATTGTTGATTGGGTTGTTTGTTCTCTTATTGTCTAATTTTTTGAGTTCTTTGTATACTCTGGATATTAGGGCTCTATCTGAAGTGTGAGGAGTAAAGATTTGTTCCCAGGGTGTAGGCTCCCTATTTACCTCTCTTATTGTTTCTTTTGCTGAGAAAAAACTTTTTAGTTTGAGTAATTCCCATTTGTTGATTCTAGTTATTAACTTTTGTGCTATGGGTGTCCTATTGAGGAATTTGGAGCCCGACCCCACCCACTGTAGATCGTAGCCAACTTTTTCTTCTATCAGACGGCGTGTCTCTGATTTGATATCAAGCTCCTTGATCCATTTTGAATTCACTTTTGTGCATGGCGAGAGAAATGGATTCAGTTTCATTTTGTTGCATATGGATTTCCAGTTTTCCCAGCACCATTTGTTGAAGATGCTATCCTTCCTCCATTGCATGCTTTTAGCCCCTTTATCAAATATAAGATAGTTGTAGTTTTGTGGATTGGTTTCTGTGTCCTCTATTCTGTACCATTGGTCCACCCGCCTGTTTTGGTACCAGTACCATGCTGTTTTTGTTACTATTGCTCTGTAGTATAGTTTGAAGTCTGGTATCACTATACTGCCTGATTCACACTTCCTGCTTAGCATTGCTTTTGCTATTCTGGGTCTTTTATTTTTCCATATGAATTTCATGATTACTTTCTCTATTTCTACAAGAAATGCCGTTGGGATTTTGATTGGCATTGCATTAAACCTATAGAGAACTTTTGGTAATATCGCCATTTTGATGATGTTAGTTCTGCCTATCCATGAACAGGGTATATTTTTCCATCTTCTAAGATCTTCTTCTATTTCTCTCTTTAGGGTTCTGTAGTTTTCATTGTATAAGTCTTTCACCTCTTTTGTTAGGTTGATTCCCAAGTATTTTATTTTTTTTGAAGATATTTTGAATGGAGTGGTTGTCCTCATTTCCATTTCAGAGGATTTGTCGCTGATATACAGGAATGCCTTTGATTTATGCGTGTTGATTTTATATCCTGCCACTTTGCTGAATTCATTTATTAGCTCTAATAGTTTCTTTGTAGAGCCTTTTGGGTCTGCTAGGTATAGAATCATATCATCTGCAAATAGTGATAATTTAAGTTCTTCTTTTCCTATTTTGATGCCTTTAATTTCTTTCGTCTGTCTAATTGCTCTGGCCAGTGTTTCGAGAACTATGTTGAAGAGAAGTGGAGAGAGAGGGCATCCCTGTCTTGTTCCAGATTTTAGAGGGAATGCCTTCAGTTTTTCTCCATTCAGAATGATGCTAGCCTGAGGCTTAGCATAGATTGCTTTTACAATATTGAGGTATGTTCCTGTTATCCCTAGTTTTTCTAGAGTTTTGAACATAAAGGGATGCTGTACTTTGTCAAATGCTTTTTCCGCATCTATCGAGATGATCATATGGTTCTTATTTTTAAGTCTATTGATGTGGTGAATAACATGTATTGATTTCCGTATATTGAAC